GTTGTTCTTTTTTCCTTTTCTTCTGTGTTCAGTACTTTCTTAAGTGTTTCTTGCAGAGGTAGTCTGGTGGCAGTGTAAGTTCTTAGGGATTGGATATCTGGGAGAGATTTCAATTCTCCCTCACTGATGAAGCTTAGCTTGGCTGGGTAGGTTATTCTCAGTTGAAATTGTTTTTCTTTTAGAACTTTGAAGATAGGGCTCTAAGCTCTCCTAGCCTGGAGGATTTCTGTAGATAAATCTGCTACAATTCTAATTGGTCTTCCCTGGTAGGTAGTCTGGCCTCTTTCTCTTGCTGCCTTTAGGATGTTTTCTTTTATAGCTGCTTTGTTTAGGCGAATTATTATGTGTCTGGGAATTGGTCTTCTCTTTTGTTGTCTTACAGGGGTTCTCTGAATCTCTTGTGCTTGAATTTTTGCATCACTGATGAGATGAGGGAAGTTTGCTTCAATGATTTCATGAAATGTTTGTTCCAGTGTGGCTTCTCTTTCTCTCTCTGCCTCAGGAAGGCCAATTACTCTTAGGTTTTTTCTCTTGAAATAATCATTCATCTCTTGAAGGTTTTGTTCTGTCTTTTAAAGCTTCTTTTCTATGGTTTTGATGGTTTGGGTTAGTTCTGTGTTTTGGTCTTCGAGCTCTGAGATTCTTTCTTCTGCTTGGCTAATTCTGCTTTTCATGCTTATTAGTTTGTTATTTATTTCCATCACAGTATTCTTTACTGCTGTTATTTCTGTCATCAGCTCCTTCCTATTTTCCTCTTGTCTCACCTCAATTTTTTAAATTCTCTCTATTAATGTCTTGATGTCTGGGTTTGTTGCATTTGACCAGTCATTCTGGGGGCTCTTCATTGTTTGTGTTCCGAAGTCTGTTTTCTCAGTGTCTGACCTCCCAGGGGTCTATATGAACCCTATATTCTTTTGGTTTTTCTTCATTTGTGCAGATTTTTCCTGCCTACTTTTTCCTTCCCTCCACTTCCCTGTCTTCTTTAATTCTGTTATTCATGGGTGGAGGGGTTGCTTTTACTTCTGTTTGTTCAATCTCCTATTCTTCTTTATGTATGTCCTCTTATTTTGTTCAATTCTGGAGTTGCACTGTGGGTGGGGGTGGTCCTTTTTGCAGTTTTAAGATTTACTTAAGGAGGAAGCTGTGATTCAAAATCTATCTGTAGATCCCGGTATCCACTGATAGGTGTATGGATAATCTGAAACCCACTTCCCACTGCCTTGGAATCTGTCCATGCAATAGGGTTGTAAGTTTCCTCCCTAAAATAAAATGAGGTTAACAGAGGGAAGAGAATGGAGTGGACAATGGGGGAAGAGAGGGTGGAGAGAGAGGAGTAAGGGGGAAAACAAACGAGTGTACCAACAAATGGAAAGAGAGACAAAAACTGAAGATATAAAAACAATAAACCATGGCTACAAACTAACTCCCACACAAAAAAACCAAAACATACAATGATACTAACATACAAGCTAACCAACCTCTTTATTGTTGTGCTATTCCTCTATACAAAGATAGGGTTTACAGAGAGAAGAAAATAAAAAAAGGGAGCAAAACAAATGGAATAGTATCAAGTCAGTAAGCTAACAGAACCAATCAAGCACACTCTGAAACTTTTTGTTTAAGTTCAATGTCCTTTCAGCTCTGATTTCTAGCTGTCTTTTCTGGCTGGCAAATTTGTTCATGGTTAGGGTCAGTTGCCCCTGGCCTGCTGTGAAGGGCAGTTCAGATCACCACTCAGTTCACCACTGTCCAGTTCACCACTCAGATTTGGCCTGTGTTTATTTATCAAGCTTCTCTTTCTCCCATTTCAGTGTTGTTACTGTGAATCGCCAGCAGGTGGTGCCATTTCACCACTCCAGATGATCTTTATCTGCAGCTGCTCGCCCCAGAGGGGTGGGAGCCGCAATGGGAGCCGTTGCCTCACCGACACATGGGAGGAGACCTACAGCCTGGTGGGACGTGACAGTGGCAGTAGTAGCGATGGCGATCTCAGCAGATCTTGCTTGCAGGGGCTTCACGGTCTGAAGTCATGGGTTGCCTCAGGCATGGGCTGTGTGATGGCCGCCACAGCGGTGGCAGCGTTGTCTACGGCTGCAGTGGCCACCCAGACCACCGTGATGTTTCAGCAGTGGTGGGCCTAGGATCTGCAGCCCCCAGGGAGAGAGCCAGAGTCTTTTTGTGTCCTCTTTCGTGGAGTATCTCATAGACCAAGCCGCCTCTCACCATCCTGCTGGAAGTCATTTATGTATTTATCTAATTTCTAAAGACATGAAGATTTTCTGCTTTCAGGTGGCAGGAGTCCTGGTTAGCTCCCATCTACCTCCCTGCGGTTGCCGCCTAGTCCTCAAGTCGCTCGATCTCTGCAGGGCCGGAGGCCACTCTAACCAGTACCCGCTCTTCAGGGGACCCGTGCCAGGAACTCTGATGTATTTTCTTTATTGAATCTTTCCTCACATTGTTGTGACATTGTGTATTTGGTACCAGTTTATTCACAGATCTGGAGCTCCCAGGGGGAAAACCTCCATCTTATTTGTGTCCTCTCCCCAGTGTCAGGCGCAAAACGTGAGCACACTAGAGACTCCATAGACAAGATAATTTTCAAATTCAAATGGTAACATTCTAGCAAATATAAAAGTAGGAGAATAATATACAAACTCCAGAGAACTCCTCACTCACCTTCAACAATTGCCAAGAATCCTTTTTCATCTACACCACACAGTCATTTAAGATATCTTGGCCCCCCAAAATATAGGTCCTTGCCTCAAACCGTGACTCCTGTGAATATGATCGTATTTGGGAAAAGGCTGTTTGCAGATGTAATTAAGTTAAGGAAGTCTAAGTGAGGTCATCCTGAAATATCCAGATAGGTCCCAAATCCAATGACTGGTGTCTTCACCACAGAAAGAAGACACACACCTGCAGAGAGTGAGGTGCTAGAAGTCAGAAGCTGATATCCAAGTGATGTGGCCACAATTCATGGAAATCACGAAATGCAAGAGCCCCCTGGTGCCAGAAGAGTCAGGAAAGGATTCTCCCCTAGAACTTGGACAAAGGAGTGGCCCTGTTGACACCTACTTCAGACTCCTGGCACTCAGAAGTGAGAGAGAATACATTTCCATGGTGTCAGTGCCCTGGTTTGTAGTCAACTGTGACAGGAGGCACAGGAAGCTAATACACTGTCTCCTCCCCTCACTACCATAGGATGATGTAAAGCAAATCTGTGTATCACTGTGTACACGTGCCAGAAAATAATAGTACAGATCATTGTTTCAAAGTAAAGACTTCTTTCTAAACATAATCACATTAATCTCTTATCACAATATCATTTTATAATTCCTTAACTTGGTCAAAGACTCAGTATTCTGGTTCATTGAAGTGTCCAATAAAGGTTTCTTTGCAGGTGATTTATTTTCACCAGCATCCAAGCAAGGCCCATCTGTAGCCTTGGAGCGATATGAAGAAATACACTTTGTAGAAATGGATGTGTGGATACAGAATCAGGCAAGGTGTATGGGAACTATAAGTTCTCAAAGCCTAGCCTCGCGTCCTTTGGGCCCTCACCTGCACCTGGAACTATGCAGGTGTCATTGTCCCTTGGTGATGAAGCACAGGACTGAAGCAGACCTGGCCCCATACCAAAGCTCACAGGGTAGTGGAGCAGACTCAGGAGCCCTCAGGTGTTATGAGAGGCTCACAGGGGCTCTGTAGAGGGCACAGAGGAGAGGCCTATGGTCTGTTCAGGGTTGCCAGGTGGAAGGAGCTCACCAGGCAGGGCTAGCCAATGTGCCCAGGTGGGAAGGCAAGAGACCCTCTCAAATTCAGGGGTTGATGGGGCTGGGGGTCAAGGAGTAAGCAGAGAACTGAGCATGCATTCTGCATGGCATGGGGGCCCACAGAAAAACTTACAGACAGGCGGTGAAACTCAGATTTGCCTTGTAGAAGGACCGCTCTGGTTCTAAGTGCAGAAGAGCCTAGGGCCAAGAGAGGAGGCAGCCGGGAGCCCCCTGTTCCTGTTGCTCCCTCACTCCCTCCAGTTGGAGCTCACTCCGGAGGAGAACTCAACATGCCAAAGCCCAGGTGTCCAGGGAGAAAGAACATTAGAAGCCTCATATATGGCGGAAGCTGGGGATCACTCCTTATCCGAGCACTCTGGCATGGTGACAGACCAGGGAAAGCATGATTTTACATGTAGATATTTCTATGAACTTCACCCACATAATGTGTGTCTTGAGAGCGCAGACCTGAGCATCAGAAGAGAACTGAGAGTGAGACTCACGCCAGGGTCCCACAGAGCAAGGAGGAGCAGACAGAGGATGTGCCTGTCATGGGCTGTGAGGGGACAGCAGGGCCACCCAGGAAAAGAGGGCGGGACTGCTTTGTTCCTCAATATTTCCTCTCTTTCTAGACACCAAAACATCCATAGTAGATATAATTGCTCTTTTAAAATGCATAAGGAAGAATGTGTTTAATATCAGAAATGCTGTTTAAGAAAGGAAAAAAATGTCGACATGATGTTTCCCAGATGGTGACTATTTTCCATTGCAATCCTGAGCATGTCAGAGGTGAGTTTCTACACTTTGACACTTTGGTAGGCTACATAACCAACTTCTTATAGCCCCTTGTTTTGGATCTGTCCATCAAGGTACATAATCCAAATTATCATGTTATATTAAAATTTTAATTCCAAAAAATGGCATCATAGGAGATTTGAAACCTGATATCCTATCAGATCCTAACCAAAATAAATCAACTTTATTTTAAAAAATGAGCTGGGCATGATGAGGCCTGCTTGTAGTTCCAGCTACTTGGGAAACTGAAGTCGAGTGATTGCCAGAGTCCCAGATGTTGGAGGCTGTTGTGAGTTGTGATTTTGCCACTGTACTCCCAGTCTGGATGACAGAGCATGACAAAGACCAAAAAAAAACCCAAAAGGTAAAGAAAATAAAGAAATTTTAACTAAGTCTGCTCATAAGATTTTATTATTTAAATATTTAGGTATCACTTCATTGCTGCAAATCCTTAGAAGACTGGTCTTGCTTGTGCTTGGCCTCCATGCCTGCTTTATTAAAACCTGAAAATCTTCCTTGTTTCTTCGAAAGTTTTCATATTTGTAGGAGGCTTCCTCTGGCTGCCAGGCTGTAGAAACTTCTTCACAGCAGGGAGGTTGCTGATTCTGGTTTTCAGGGCCTGCAATTGACAAATCACAGGCTCAAAGGGGAGCCAAACTGACGCCACCATGAGCCAAACCCAGGAAATCTGAGCCCCTCCCGCAAATGACCAACTGAGTCCCCTCCATCAGCACCCACGACGTGGCTGGGAACTGGGTCACCTTCAGCAGAGGAAAGCTGGCGATGAGGCTGGGGTCAAATTCCTCCACCTCATAGAGAAGTTCAACCAGCTGAATGTCAGCGCGGCTCAGCCTGTTGCCAACAAGGTAGTCTTGGCCATGGCTCTTCAAGACCTGCAGGATTCGAGGAGTCAGATGGTGAACACAGGCATAGTCAGGCAGTGCCCTGCTTCTCCCTGGAACCTCTCCAGCCTCACTCTCCCACCACTGTGGCCTCACAGGGCAGGTCCAGAGATCCAGACTTTTCTCTACAGTCCAATTCATTAAGAAAAGTCTCCCGCACCTTTGGGAGGCTGAGGTGAGTGAATTACCTGAGCCCGCAGGTTCGAGACCCGCCTGGGCAGGCGAGACCTCGTCTCTACAATAGTCAAAAAATCAGCCGGGCGTGGTAGCGTGCGCCTGTAATTCCGGCTACTCGGAAGGCTGAGGCGGAAGGATCGCCGGAGCCCAGCAGGTCGAGGCTGCGGTGGCCGGGAGCGGCCCACTGCACTCCAGTCTCAAAAAAAAAACTCCAACTCAAAAAAAAAAAAAAAAAAAAAAGAGAAGTCATTCAGTTCACTGCTCGGCAAAGCCCAGGCTACCATTTTCTCTTTCATTCCATGCCACTGTGCTTTCCACACCACCCACCCAACTTGCAGCTACCATGGGCCAGGGGACCCGTGGCAGCATACTCCTGTCTGCCCCACGCCCCAGAGCATATAGTGTTGACATTTTAGAACATGGCTCTGTGCTCTGCTCTCTTCGTCTAATTGCCCTTGGGTTGTAACTCCATCTTCCTGACAGCACACTTCACCCAGGCATAGACTTTTTCAGACAATCATTTCTTCTCTTGTTTGCTTATATCATTTCTTGCTCTTTCCCTCTTGGATCTGAAGTAAACCTGATATCACCATCTTTCTTGCAACAGTGGCTCTGACACCTAATTTATACGATGAATAATCAGCAAGCTGAGGTGTGTAGGGGTGAATTGGCCTGATGTCTGCAGCTACAGTTTCTTTGAATCACATAAAAAATCCTCCATCTTCTTCATTCCACTGCCACTTTCCCTTTTAGATGCTTCTCATCCACCCCTGAAGCACTGCAATATTTTCTTGCTGAGAAGTAGGGCTCATGTTTTCCTACAGATAGTGCCAGAATACTTTTTGGTGTATTGCTTTCATTATACTCCTCTTGAATTGATGCCCATGGTGTTCTACAGAATCTAGATCCACCTCTAGTGTGGCTCTGAGCCATCTACAACCCACATTCTAACTATGCACATGAAATTTTCTTAATAGAAAATTTTGTATTGAGTTCTAATAAAGTGAAGTTTTCCTGGAAAATTACCATTTGAATATAAGTGATACAATTGTTCTTCACAAACTGTTTTTATAAAATCCCTTGAGACTCGGAGTGCTGCACTGGCGTTCAGGAAGTCTCATTGGAAGTGAAGGTCAAGGTCCCACCGATGCCCAGGCACTGTTGAGGGAAATAGCGATTTGTTGTTCTCTCTTTGATCAAGGCAACCTTGGCATCTTTTTGGTCAGGTGGGATTAAGGGCAGAAGCATGATCATTTCATACAGATTTGCCATACCTTCTATGTACATATTAATCCTGAAAGACAAAAGCTGTCAAATGTCTCCTGCTTTATATATATATATAAACATTTATTTTTTCGAATAATTTATCAGGGTAAATATATGTCTAAAACGTTGGTATGACACATGACCAAATTGAGGTACAAGAAGCACTGGTGACCATCCAGAGTATGCATCATGAAAGAAGTTGGTGAATCCACTGATACTATTCTAGGATTTGCAAACTCTGGTGTTGTACGTTCTTTGCATAAACCTGGCATAATGCAAATAGCCAAGGAGCTGCCTCCTAAGTCAATCTCAGAGAGACCCTGATACAGCCACTCAGTTATGTCTCTCTTCCTTTCTCATCACTTTACACCTCCCGCTTACTTTATGTCCAATATTAGCAGTTCTCCCTGAGACTACAGGTTCATGCCACCACACCCAGCTACTCGTTTTGTTTATTTGTTTTTTTATTTATTTAATGTAGAAATGAGATCCTGCTATGTTGCCCAGGCTGGTTTTAAACTTCGGGGCTCAAACAATCCCTCCACCTCAGTCTCCCAAAGTTTTGAGGTTATCGACGTGAGCCAGTGAGCCCAGTCAATACAAGAGTTTGTTTTGAGTCATGTAGTCCCATTGCTATAGGAGAAGATCTCAGAGCGTTGGTGGAACTGAATAAATCTGGCTGTTTTAGCAAAATGTCAAAAAAAACCCAGCATCCTGGGCACCAGCCTCTTCTATCCCTTCTCAAAAGGGCCAGTCCATATATCTGTCTGGCACTACAGGTTTCTGGTCATCATTCTTGTGGTTACTGGAACTTGGGATTCAGCTCCCTTGGATTCTTCTCTCCCCAGCTTTCTGGTCCAGACACTTAGACACTGTGTCCCTTGTCCCTAGCTATTGGACTCCATCCTCTAAAGGCCTGATCACCTGGAGTCATGACTCTGTCATCCTCATGAATTCAGTTATCAATGTTTGGAAAAGTTTGTCCTGGTCTTTTATTATGGTCTGCATCCAGCCTAGAACTATACTTGCTTGAAGCCCCACGTTACTCTTCCCTCATGTCTATAGGATTCTGCAACACTAAACCTCAGTGTACCCAGTCTGCAACTGCCCCTGTCATGGTCCTGTCCTCAAGACTTATCTGCTGATATCAGAACAGAAAAGACACCGTACAAGTCTCTCTCCTTGAGGTCCTTCCCATAGAGGTTGTACTTGCTGGCAATGTAGTTGAGAATGGCTCTGGTCTGCACCAGCTTCATCCCATCAATCTCAACCATGGTCATTTGCTGGAACATCAAACTCCCATCTTGAGGAAGAAGAAAACGAAAAGGAAAGTGAAATATCTACGCAGCCCATTCTTTCAGGAGGAAAATCTGTTGATATGACTAAAGTTAAAAAATAAAAAAGGATTCCTTGCTGGTAAACTTTCAATTGAAATAGCATTTTCTTTGCAAAAGTTCAGCCTGCTGTCATCTTTGCTTATCTTATCCAACTTCCTTGAACTTTTTAGTTGTTTCATTCGTGATTGTACTTCCCATCCAGATAAAGAGCGAGTCTCTTTTGTTTTTGTGTTGATGCCATTTAAAATGAGAAGTTTCCGGAGTAAGTCTCTGTGTGTTGGTGACATTTAAGGTGGGACGTTTAATTCGGAGAGTATTCTATTAGGGGTCCTTTCCTCTACTCTTCAAAGCCTACAACATTGCTTCAATATTGCCTTGTCACACAACCCATACATGAGAAAGCCCAAGGTAATGACCACATCTATTTCTGCTCCTTTAGTCTAATGTGTGTCCTTGGGTGGAAAGGACGGTGTAGGATATTGAGCTGACCTCAGCTCACTCCTGGTGTAGAAAACATGAGACAGCAGGAAGGGGAAACTCTTCAGGTGGTGGAGATGGTTTTTCCAGCAGATAATCAAAGAAGTCTTTGTAGTCACAAGGGAGTTACTGGACTTGTTCAAGGAACCCTACCCCTTCTAATCCAACCACTTTCTCTGTCTCCACTATCCCCAACTACCCCCCTATACACATCAGCATTGATTGCTATCAAATCCTTCACTTTCTACAAGATTCCCTCATGAGAGGCATTTAGAGACTTAACCTTACCATTTCTTAACCTGTCCAAATCTTCTGCAGATTCTAGAAAATTTTCTTCAAACTGGAAACAGTAATAGTAAAAGGGTTCATGTTAGTTTACTATATAGCATTATAAACTTTTATATTTGAATGGCCCCTGTCTGGCACATTATATTGAATAGGAAGAATTTCTAAGTTTGGTCAGGTACACAGAGGAGTCTGGTCACAGTCATTTGGAATTTGAGACTAGATTCACCAGGAAAAGGGTCTGGGTCACAGGACATGGCTGTCCATTCTAGTAGATTCACTTTACCTGTGCCTTGACCCCATTGGTGCCCTTGGTTAGGTCATGATTTTGGAGAGGGATGCCACTTTAGAGAAGGGACCATGATGTTTCTCTCATTATGGAATTTTAGTGTCTCAGGAAGGCCTGTGTCTCCAAGTGAGACCATACCACAACCTTTTGTGTTCCTACCATGGAGTATATGCCAATAACCACCTAGGATTCTGTCACCAAGGGCTTCTGGTATAATTTCCCTCACTCCATTCCATGTTATACTTTAAAAGGAGTTCTTAGTCATGAAAAGATTGGGGGATAGTAGGTTTCTAACTTGCTTGGTGGAACTGAGTTTGTTGTTGAGTTCCATGATTCCATTGGGTGAGGCTATACAGATAGTGAGGCATGATTTTCCAGCAATTATAAAGTATCCAGTTGAAGACACACATAAGGTATGGTTGGTAGTTATCACAGCAAGGTGATCAGGGTGCCATGGGGTTGGCAAGTGTGATGTTGCTTTGAGGCTGTTGGATTGCATTGTCGAGGACAATCTTTGGGCACTAAGGACACAGAAGCCCAGAACAATGTTCTCCAGTAAGCCCTTGACCCTGACACCTGTAGTCAATCTGGGGAACTCTATCTTTCATCCCTACCTCACCTCCTGTACTGAACTCCTCATTCCAGGGATCTGAATCTTTCCCTGAACTGCAAAGCTGAAGTTTGGACAACAGTAGTCACAGGTTATTCATTTCTAGAAAGACAACAACCTGGATTGGCTTTTGTTGGATTTTTTGTGTACTCATTTCTTCATCAAATTGAGAAAGAATCAGGCTAATGTCCAATGTTTTCATGAAGCAAGGGAGGAAGTATAATCCCAAAGTGAAGGTCACCATGTTGCTATGAGGCCAAAGGGAGCACACAAGAAGTTCATCTCACAGAATACAACCTCACCTAAAAACTCTTTCCTCCTGCCGCCTGATGGGCAGGAGTTCCTAGTGTGTCCATGACTCATCCTTCAGGAAAACCCACACCATAGGTTCTGAGTGCCTCTGGTTTGCACTGGTAAATGTTATTCTCTTAATATCTCTAAGGAATAGCACTCTACAGAGTAACCCCAAACCCTCATGTCTAAACATAGGAATAATGGGCTTGTAAGACTGGAAAATGCTGTGGGTTATCCTAGGGGTTCCTGTCTCTCATTTTATTCACCTGTTTATTTTTCTGCATCTTCACAGAGATGTAGGCAACCTATCTACCCTTTGGACCCACCACAGAGTCTGACACATATTAGGTGCTCAAAAAATAATCACCAAAGGAATGCACTCAGTCTTCAACAGGCAGCTAGTTGCTGTCTTCTGCCTCTGAATTGTACTTTGTATTTAAGCTTAATTGCATTCATATTCTAATATTATATGTGTTGATCCTTTTATTTTGGAACTTGTAACACTATAAACTAAACAGAAAAGTATAATCTTCCCCTTGTACCGCTCACCTAGCTTCAACAATTATCAGCTCATGCCATTGTTGTCTCATCTCTATGCCCAACCACTTCCCCCTCGTGTCATAATTTAAACAAAATCCCAGATGTCATATATTTCATCATTAAATAGTTCAGTGTATTTTTCTAAAACATAAAAGTTATTTTATAAAATAGTCACAATACATTATAATACCTAAAACATTAATCATAATTCGTTAATGTCATCAAATATTCAACCAATGTTCACATTTTTATTGTTAATATAAATACCATAAATTATTTATTATAGTTTGTCTACCAATATACTTATTAATTTATGTTTAGTTTGTTAAATTTATTTTACCACTTATTCATTTTGATAAGAAGAAAATTTAACCCTGTATTATTTCATCTTTTTTTGATAATTGGCAATATTTTAAGGCACAACTCTCGACAAGGCATTCAGTAAGAAACATCTCATGGTTGATGTGAGAAAGTAACTGATGCAGTGAATTTTAGATCCAACACAGGATGACAGGACTCACAACCTACCTCCACTCCAGCTGCAGCCAAGAGCCACCGGATGGACTCCATCCTGCCACGTCCATTGAAGTAGTGAAGTTTGGGCTTCCCCGCCATGATAGCAGTCTCCTGGTTTCCCTAAGCAAGAATGAATCAGTGAATAGATGGATGAGGCAAAAATGTACTTGGGATGTATGTTTGAACACCACTGACACTGAAGAAGCATCTGGCTTTTTCATGACAGGGTAGCAGGAGTTCCTAGAATGTTATTTTGGCCCAAATTGTCACCAAGCATCGGCCACACTCAGATTGCGCCACACCACTCTCAAGTCCCCATTGGGTCACAAGTAACTATTCTTGGCAGGATAATAAGTGAGAGCATGTGGTCACAATGCATATATAGGAGTTAGTGGGAAGAGGAAGAATTAGAAAACTAGTATTTATTGAAAACCTCCCAATGTTCCTTCTCCAATGCTAGTCCCCTTCAATAAGTTATGTCTTTAATCCTAACAATAGCCCCATGAAACAATTATTATCTTCATTTCCCCATTAATGAAAGTGAATTTCAGAGAGGTTAAATGCCGTGTCCACAGTCACACTCCATTCTTGAGGGACATGAAAACCCACACCCAGGACTAAACAGAAGGCAGAACTGGAACCCACACAGGTGAAGACCCTGGAAACCCGTGAGGTGGCCTTGAAATCAGAGGATGTCAGTGACAGGGAGGACGTGGAGAAGGCATAGTCCCTCTTCAGCTCTTAGACAGTTCGTCTCTATTTGATCAAAAGCAGAGATTAAGCCTCAGACTCACTTAGCTATCACTCAAAAGACCCAAATTATTTCCACAGACAGAGAGTCTAATTCCTTGCTTATTTGGGAATTCTGTATTCTACGTCTACTGTGGTCATTTTGTTTTATCTCCTAGAAGAAGAGATGTTGTTGCATTAACATCTCTTAACATGCATTAACAGGCTATGGAAGGACTTGTTCATTGTCAGTCACACTTTGGACCTTCTCACAAATTTATCTCCATTTTATCTTAAAAACATCACTCAGGTCGGGCTCGGTGGCTCAGCCTGTAATCCTGCGCCTCTGGGAGGCTAAGGTGAGTGGATTGCCTGAGCCCGCAGGTTCGAGACCCCCGTGGGCGGCGAGACCAATCTCAACAATAAATTAAAAAATCAGCCGGGTGTGGTAGCGCATGCCTGTAATTCCAGCTACTTGGAAGGCTGAGGTGGAAGGATCGCCGGAGCCCAGCAGGTCAAGGCTGCGGTGGCCGGAAGTGGCCACTGCACTCCAGTTTGGGCGACAGAGTGAGACTCCAACTCAAAAAAAAAAAAAAAATCACTCAGGTGAATTCTACTATAAGTCTGATTTTTGCAGTTCAGGCTACTGTGGGTTTTAGTGTAACTTGCCCAAAAGTAAGTGGTGGGCCTGGGATTCAAACCTACCGCTATTGAAAAATAAACTCTGGCCATGCACAGAGGCTCTTGCCTGTAGTCCCAGCACTTTGGGAGACTGATGTGGTAGATCGCTTGAGCCCAGAAGTTCAAAGCTGCAAGGAGCTATGACCCCACCATTGCACTCCAGTCTGTGCAACAGAGAGAGACCTAGTCTCAAAAATAAATAAAGTCTGGATTTATTTTCTGTTTGTATTTTTCCAAAACATGAATGGCAGTCCTTCAGTGGATTGTAAAATCTATACATTTTAAAGAAGAAAATCGAAAAGATTGGAGTGCATTGCATGTGAAAAGGGTAAGTAATGTTGTCTGAGTTTCTAGAATCAATTCTATGTGTGTCGTGTGTGTGGTTATTCTATGTAAGGCTGGGCATGGTGCCTTACGCCTGTAATCTCAGTACTTTGGGAGGCCAAAGCAGGAAGATAACTCAAGCCCAGGAATTCCAGGCTAGCCTAAGCAATTAGAGCAAGCCTTTGTCTCTATAAAAAAAAAAATCAAATAATTAGCTGGGTGTGGTGGTACTCGTTTGTAGGTCCAGCTACTTGGGAGGCTGAGGTGGGAGGATTATCTCAGGCCAGGAGGTAAAGGCTGCGGTGAGCCATGATCATGCCACTGCACTCCAACATGGGCAACAGAGTGAGACCTTAACTAAAAAAAAAAACAAAAAAAAACAATAAATTTTATACATGTATGTATCTATCTCATCAAGTTGCTTGATGAGAATGAATAGTACAGATAAGTTAAATAATGAAATCATGATAATTGAGCAGCCAATCCTGATTATCAGACTCAATTTTTAAACAGAATCACTAAAGAAGAGAGCCTGTCTCCCAGAATGACCAGGGAAGAGAAATTTGGAAACAGCAGAATATTCAGGCAAATGTTTTAACTAGGGTAAGGTCAAGGATTAACACATACTGGTTGAACAGGGAATAGGAAAATTCACAAGAAGGACATTATTCTTCTTCATTTTGTTCAAGGCATGGACCCAAGTCATTTTGCTCTATAAAACTAAATGTTCTACAGACTTAGATTCACTTCCAACATCCAGACAGTTGCTGAGAAAAATTCTGCCTACTTTTTTAAGCATCTTGGTCTTAAAGAAACATTGAAACACCAATGGCATCGCCATTTGGCAACAATCACAAAGCATGTCTTACAAAGGCAAGTGCTCATGTGAGTGCATTGCCCATCAAGTGGTCAATTAGAACTGTGTTTGGCTGGTATTGGTGACTCTTTTCTCAGCAGGAGATGGAGGTTTGAGAAGCAGCTGGAGACATGAAACTCTCCAGATGTATGCTCCATTCACTGGTCATTTGGGAATCCCAAATCTGGGATCTTGCCAAATTCAAATTCACAATTGTGTTGACTACTTTTATGGAGAAATCAACTTGAGCCTAAACTACTACATTTCCTCTGACACTGGTCATCTGCTCAGATTTTTTTAAATGACACTATCTTTTTTTCCCCACATGTGATTAATTTTTCTTATATCATTAAATTCTCATGTCCAAGTTTTCTAAATTCTTCTTTTTTCATTTCTGTAATACTAGAGAAAATCATCAGAACAAAAATGGAAACACTTAAGAGCAGCCTGACAAATAGAGCTGGGAATGGCCAGGAAGAGAGGCTTCTCACACTTTTATGTTTGATAACAACAACAAAGAAAATTATACAGAAAAACACAATCTTTCTCAAAATCCACTGCAACATTGCACTGAAGATACTTCTACAAGGACACCTGCCCAGCAACTGCCTGTTGTAACCTTCCACTGTTACTGATGTTTGTGGTCGGGGATAATTCTTTCCACACCATTATGTACTCCTCCTCATTCTTTCCTTTAAAAGTCCTTATCATCCTTGACCTCTCAAAAATACATACAGGGTTTACTATGACATACTTAGTCACATTACAATACTTTATTCCAAGTAAATATCTTTTCAAGATATTTATTATTAAACTTCACACTTTGTATCCCAAAGCAGCCGATACACTCAAGCCCACAAAGGCACAGTGAGAGTATAAAACAGACTTTTTCTTGCTCTGAGGACACATTTTAAAGTACTTTTCTGGTGACCTAGAAGGGATAGTGTGAGGCAATGTGGAAGATGTATAAGATCAGTACTTACCTTGTTGAAGCTGCCACCCTTCTGGCTCAACTACTCAATACCAGGTCCTGATGTGTTTATAAGGTGCCTGTTCATTCCAATAGTTTCCTCCCATTGATGGGGGTGGAGTCATGTTAGGGAAAGGCCCCTCCCACATGTTTTAGTGTTCCTGGGCTCTAGATTTAAGGATTTGAAGAAAAACACCAATTCATCCCCTTATCACAAGATAACTGTTTAATATGTCTTGTTTAAGTTTCGTAATATAAGTTTAAACAAAAAAATTCAACTAGATTTTTGCCTTCTCCGCAAGTCAGCAGAACTGGTTCTTTGCAGACACTTACTGTGGAGTTTTCCTGACTTGCATGCAAGGAGTAGGCAGATGGAAACCTCTACTGTGAGTGTAGATGGGAGTGTAGATGGGAGGTGAGACCTGTGAAGGGCAAGCTTCTGGCACTCTGGAGGTTTTTCTTATGAATTGCCAGATATTATGAGGGACACCCAGGTAAATGAGAAGTGCAAGCAAATAATTCATCATTCTTTAGCATAAGCACACCCCAAACCTTGGATGCAAGGTTTAAAAGTATAGATTATGGCTAGGTACAGTGGCTCACAGCGCTTTAGGAGCCTGAAGCAGGTGGATTGCTTGTGTCCAGGAGGTAGAGAGCAGGCTGGGCAGCATAGCAAAACCTCATCTGTATAAAAAAAATTTAAAAATTAGCCGGACACGGTAGTGTGTGCTTGAGTCCCAGCTACTCGAGAGATGAGGCAGAAAGATCTCCAGAGATCAGAAGATTGAGGCAGCAGTGAGCCATGAACATGCCACTGCACTCCAGCCTGGGTGACAGAGTTAGAAACTGACTCAGAAGAAAAAAAAGCATTATTTGTCTGAACGTTACATATATCCGGGTGTCCCACATTTTACCTGGCAATCCTCTTTGCATCCCTGTGATTACCCTATCTGGTCTCAGGGCCTTTGCAGGTGATGTTTTTCCTGATTGGAACACTCTACTGTCTTCTACTGATATATTTTCTTTATGGAATCTTTCCTAACATTGTTGTGACATTGTGTATTTAGTACCAGTTTATTCACAGACTTGGAACCCCCAGGGGCAAAGCCTCCATCTTATTTGCGTCTAGTCACCATTGTCTGGTGCAAACCTTAAGTATACTAGAGACTCCATAAATAAGATAGTTTTTACATTCAAATGGAAACATTCTGGCAAATATAAAAGTGAGAGAATAATATACAAACTCCAGAGAACTCCTCACTCACCTTCAACAATTGCCAAGAATCCTTTTTCATCTATACCACACAGTAGTTTAAGATATGTTGGCCCCCCAAAACATAGGTCCTTACCCAAAACTGTGACTCCTGTGAATATGATCGTATTTGGGAAAAGGTTCTTTGCAGCTGTAATTAAGTTAAGAAAGTCTAACTGAGGTCATCCTGAAATATCCAGATAGATCGTAAATCCGATGACAGGTGTCTTCACCACAGAGAGAAGGCACATACCTGCAGAGATCGAGGTGCTGGAAGTCAGAGGCTGATATCCAAGTGATGTGGCCACAATTCATGAAAGTCACGAAATGCCAAGACCCCCCTGGTGCCAGATGAGTCAAGAAAGGATTCTCCTCTAGAACTTGGACAAAGGAGTGGCCCTACTGACACTTACTTCAGACTCCTGGCACTCAGAAGTGAGAGAGAATCCATTTTCATGGTGTCAATCCCCTGGTTTGTAGTCATCTATGACAGAAGGCACAGGAAGCAATACAGACCCCGTTTCCTCCCCTCACTACCATGGGATGATGTGAAGCAAATACAGAACAGCCTATAACTATACTATAACTATAATAATAGTACAGATAATTGTTTCACAGTAAAGACTTCTTTCTAAACATAATCACATTAATCTTTTATCACATTATCATTTTATAATTCCTTAACTTCATCAAATACTCAGGATTCTAGTTCACTGATGTGTCCAATAAAGGTTTCTTTGCAGGTGATTTATTTTCACCAGCATCCAAGCAAGGCCAATCTGTACCCTTTGAGAGATATGAAGAAATACGTTTTGTGGAAATGGATGTGTGGATACAGAGACAGGCAAGGTGTGTGGGGACTGTAAGTTCTCAAAGCCTAGCCTTGTGTCCTTTTGGGCCCTCACCTGCACCTGGAACTGTGCAGGTGTCATTGTCCCTTGGTGATGAAGCACAGGGATTCCAGCAAGCCTGGCCCCATGCCACAAGCTCACAGGGTAGTGGAGCAGACTCAGTGGCCCTCAGGTGTTATTAGAGGCTCACAGGGGCTCTGTAGATGGCATGGAGGAGAGGCCTATGGTCCGTTCAGGGTGGTGAGGTGGGAAGAGCTTACCTGTCAGGGCTAGCAAATGTGCCCAGGCCAGAGGTCAAGAGATCCCCTCATGTTCAGGGGTTGATAGGGTTGGGGGTCAAGGAGTGAGCAGAGAGCTGAGGATGCATTCTGCATGGTATGGGGGCCAACAGAAGAATTTACAGACAGGTGGTGATACTCAGATTTGCCTTTTAGAAGGACCGCTCTGGTTCTAAGTGCAGAAGAGCCTAGGGCCAACTGGGGAGGCAGCCGGGAGCCCCGTGTGCCTGTTGCTCCCTCACTCCCTCCAACTGGAGCTCACTCTGGAGGAGAACTCAACATGCCAAAGCCCAGGTGTCCGTGGAGAAAGAACATTATAAGCCCAGTATAAGGCTGAAGCTGGGAATCGCTCCTCACACAAGCATGGTTACAGGCCAGGGAAAGTATGATTTTACTTGAAGTTATTACTATGGACTTCACCCACATAATCTGTGTCTTGGGAGCCCAGGCCTGAGCATCAGGAGAGAACTGAGAGTGAGGCTCAAGCCGGGGTCCCACAGAGCAAGGAGGAGCAGACAGAGGATGTGCCTGGCATGTGCTGTGAGGGACAGCAGGGCCACACAGGAGAGGAGGGTGGGGCTGCTTTGTTCTTTACTATGTCTTCACTTTCTAGACACTGCAAAGTACAAGTAGACATAATAGCTCTTTGAAAATGCATGAGGAAATAGCTCATGGAAATAACTTTAGTATTGGAAATAGCTCTTTAAGAAAAGAAGAAAATTTATCATGACATTCCCCAGACGGGTGACTACTTTTCTATGCAAACATGAGCATGCCACAGGTGAATTTCTACATTTGACACTCCGATGGGCTACATGAGTGATGTTAAAGGACAATTCTTGGAAATGCCAATCAAGGTTCATAACCCATATTTTCATTTTATATTAAAATTTTAATTCCAGAAAAATGGCAATATAGGAGGGCATTTGAAATCTGATATCCTGTCTGATCCTAACCAAAATAAATACATTTTATCTAAAAAAAATTAGCCAGAGATGGTGACACATGTCTGTCGTTCCAGCTACTTGGGAGGCTGAGCCAGCAGGATCTCCTAATTCCAGGAAGTCGAGGCTGTGGTAAACTGTGATCCTGACACTGCACTCCAGCATGGACCACAGAGTGAGATTCAGACTAAAAAAATAAAAAAATAAAATGAAAAGAAAAGAAAGAAATTTTAACTAAGCCTACTCATAAAAGTTTGATAATATAATTATCATATAATTTGAAAAAGTTCATGAGTTTCACAATAGCCACAAGCAACATTTAGGCAACACTTCATTGCTGTAAATCCTTAGAAGACTGGTCTTGCAGTGCATGGCTTCCATACTTGTTTTATTAAAACTTGAAAATTCTCTTTACTACTTCTATACTCTTCGTATCTTCAGGAGGCTTCCTCTGGCTGCCAGGTTGCAGAAACTTCTTCACAGCAGGCAGGTTGCTGATTCTGGTTTGCAAGGCCTGCAACTGACAAATCACAGGCTCAGAGTAGAACCAAGGCTGACTCCACCATGAGCCCAACCCAGGAAATCTGAGTCCCTCCCACAGAAGACCAGCTGAGTCCCAACCATCAGCACTAGTATGGAGGCTGGGAATTGGGTGAGTCACCTTCAGCAGAGGGAAGCTGGCAATGAGGTTGGGGTCAATCCCCTCCACCTCATAGAGAAGTTCAACCAGGTGAATGTCAGCATGGCTCAGTCTGTTGCCAGCAAGGTAGTCTTGGCCATGGCTCTTCAATATCTGGGGGATTTAAGGAGTCAGAATGTGAACACAGGCACAGTCAGGCTGGACCCTTTTTCCCCTGAGCCTCTCCAGCCTGATTCTTCCACCTCTGCAGCACCACTGGATGGGTACAGAGTTCCAGGCCTTTCTCCACAGTCCCTGAATCAACAAGGGAGAACAGTAGTTGTGCTCTTCTCCTTGCTTGATGGAACCAAATACTATATCGTTCCACATCACTGTGATGTCCACACCACTCATCCAACTTGCATCTTCCACATGGGTCATGGGCTCAGCACCTCTGCAGAATATTTCTCTCTGTCCCGTGCCCCAGAACATGCATCCTGATATTTCAGGACCTGGGTCTACATTCTGCTCTCTCTCTCGCTCTCTCTCCAATCTCCCTTGGGCAGTGACTCCACCTTTCTGACAATACTCGTCACCCAGGTGTAGGCTATTTCAAAGAATCATTTCTCCTCTCGCCTGCTCACATCACTTCCTACTCTATCTCTCTGGGATCTGACATAAATCCCGGTAAACCCAGTATGATAATCTTTCTTGCAACACTGGCACTGACTCCCAGTTTATACTATGTGTAACCTGCAACCTGAAGTGTCTAGGAGTGAACTGCCTTAATGTCTGCAGTTACTTTGAAATGCACGAAACTATCTGTCTCTCAATCCTACTTCTATCATTTCTTTTTAAAGGCTTCTCTACCACCCCTGAAGTACTACATATTCTCCTGTTGAACAGTTGATCTCACATCATACTATACATTGTGTCAGAATATTTTCTGATGTATTGCTTTCATCATGCTCCTCATGAATTGAAGCCTGTAGTGTTCTGTAGACTTAGACTCACCTGCAGTGTGGCTCAGAGCCTTACACAGCTAACATGTGAATTATGAACATGAAATTTTGCTGACCAGAGAACTCTATATTGGGGTCTGGTATATTGACATTTTGCTGGAAAAATTATAATTTGAGTATAAGTGGTACAATTGTTCTACACAGGCTGTTTTTATAAAACGTCAGACTCATAGTGCAGCACTGGTGTTCAGGGAGTCTCATTGGAAGTGAAGGTCAATGACTCACCAATGCCTAGGCACTATTTTTGAACTGATCTCAAAACTCAGAGCCCCAAAATACTGAATAACTTCACTTATGTTTTCAAAGGCAAGGAAATAGCGATTTTTTGTTCTCTCTTTTATCAAGGCAAGCTTGGCATCTTGCTGCTCAGGTGGAATTATAGCCAAAATAATGATCATTTCATTCAGATCTGCCATACCTTCTGTATACATATCAATCCTGAAAGACAAAATCTGTCAAATGCATCCTGCCTTAGATTTTACAGTTTAAAAGCCTAAGATAATATAGTGTCAGGTGATGGCAAAGTAATTTACCTCCAGTGCTCCCCTTTCATATGCTTGTCATTATGTTATGATTTTTTACATCTATATTAATATTTATTTCTTAGAACAGCCTAGCTGAGTAAATATATGTCTAAAATTTTGGTTATGTACATACTAAATTCAGGTGCAAAGAGCATGTCTACAGTCAGAATCATAAGAGAAGTTGGTGGATTCACTGCTGTAACCACTGCTGCTATTCTAGGATTTGCCATCTCTAGTGTTTGTTTGGTACATAAACGTGATATGATTCAAATGGCCAAGGACTTGCCTCCTAATATCCTCACAGAGTCCCTGGCCTCTGGCACAGCCACTCAGTCATGTTCTTCTTCCTTTCTCATCACTTTAAACCACCTACTTACTTTAAGTCCAATAATAGGAGTTCTTCCTGTTATTTCTTATAAATCTACTTCCACAGCTCTGTCCATGTGCTCTTGTCCACCTCTAGCCATATTTGCATTTCTCGAGACCCCACCTAAAATATCTACTTTCTGGTGACCTTCTTTCTACGGTTACCCTAGTGCATATCATAGGAGATGTCTTTTCCTTATGCATTAAAGTAGGTTTTCCATAATATTTTTAAAATAACACCTTCATTGACATATAGTCACAAACCATAAGATGAGGACCCCCCCAAAGAAACTGGAATTTTTTTTGGATGGCAGGCTTCCACTAGATAGTGTTCTCGGCTTCAGTGAGGTTTTTTTTGTTTTTTGGGGGTTTTTTTTGAGTTGGAGTCTCACTCTGTCACCCACACTGGAGTGCAGTGGCTGCTCCCGGCCACCGCAGCCTTGACCTGCTGGGCTCCGGCGATCCTTCTGCCTCAGCCTTCCGAGTAGCCGGAATTACAGGCATGCGCTACCACGCCCGGCTGATTTTTTGATTTATTGTAGAGATGAGGTCTCGCCGCCCAGGCGGGTCTCGAACCCGCGGGCTCAGGCAATCCACTCACCTCAGCCTCTCAAAGCGCGGCATTACAGGCTGAGCCACCGAGCCTGGCTGAGGTTTTTTTTTTTTTTGGAGATTCTTTCAGCACATTTGCCCATTTCATGATGGGCGATTTATGAGCACATCTGCCCACACCATGCTGAGTGTTCAGCAGTTTTTGACCAGAAACAGCATTACTCTAGTGCCCCCACCAGGTCTCACCCCAAGATACTTTTTTTTGTTTCCCTGGATGAAAAGAGTCCTCAAAGGGAAATGTTTTGCTGATATGGAAGAGGTGAAACAAAAAACAGCAGAAAACTAAAAGGCTTCAAAATTGATGAGATCAAAAACTGTTTTGAGTAGTGGTAAAATATCTCTCAGTATGTGTATTGCATCAAATGGAGAGTACTTAGAAGATGACAGGTTTAAATATGTTAGAATAAATACACAATTTTTAATAAATAAATTTTGGAATTGTTTTGGGTCACCCCATAACTCTCATATTTTTAAATCATACCATTCAATTCTCAATATATTTACAGAATACTGCAAATTGTGTTACACTCTAATTCCAGGACACAATTATTGCTCTGATAAGGAAATCTGTAGGTACTACAACATTCTTCATTTATCTCCATACTCCACTTCTAAATGCCAGGTCGCAATTAATCTATGAGATGCCTCTATGGATGTGAATATTCTGGATATTTCATGCAATACAGTTCCTACATTATGTGGCTTCTGTGTCTTGTTCCCTTAGGTAATGTAATGTCTTTGGGTTCCACCATGTTGAAGCATGTTCCAGTACTTCATTCATTTTCATAACCACTGCATGGCTAAGGCATATTTTGTTCCTTCATTTGTCCTTTGATGCATTTTGGGGTTGTTTCCTTGTTTAGAATATTATGGATATTGCTCTTATTGGCATTGCACAGTTGTTGATAAGATTTTGTGTGAATGTATGTTGATTCTTTGGGGGATACACCTAGTAAAGGAATTGCTGGGTCGTTGGTGACTCTACATTAAACTACTTTGGGAAGTGCCAACCATTCCATACAAGAGCTTATTTGGAATTATGCTGTCCAATCACATCTGAAGATGGAGACTTCAGAGCACTGGTGGTATTGAATCAATCTGGTTGCTTAAGAATTGTATCAGAGTGTCAAGCGAACCCCAACATCCTGGACATCAGCCTCTACTACACCTTCTCAAGTGGGCCGGTGCATATAATTGACTGGTCATGTAGGTTCCCGGTCATCATTCTCGTAGTTAATGAAACTTGAGATTCAGTACCTTTGGATCCTTCCCTCCCAGGCCTTCTCCTCCAGACACTCAGACACTGTGTCCCTTGTCCCTTGCCATTGGAGTTCACCCTTTAAAGGCCAGCACCTCTACAATCACTATTCCATCTTCTCTTGAAACACATCAGTAGTTGCAAACATTTTTCATGGTGCTATATCTGTGGTGCATCCACTTCAAGAATCATATCTGCCTGATGCCAGCCCACTTTACTCTTCCCTCATGCTGCAGCCATGGACCTCAGTGTACATACCCAAGACCCAGCCTGCGACTGGTCCTGATCTCTCTGCCACCTTCCTGCTCACTTAAGGAAGGCCCTAAGTCACTCTGGCTTAGCTATTGATGTCAGAACAGAACGGAAAAGATACCGTACAGAGCTTTCTCCTTGATGTCCTTCCCATAGAGGTTGTACTTGTTGGCAATGTAGTTGAGGATGGCTCTGGTCTGCACCAACTTCATCCCATCAATCTCAACCATGGGCACTTGCTGGAACATCAAACTCCCATCTTGAAAAAGAAGAAAAGGGAGAGTGAAATGTCTATGGGTCCCACTCTTTCAAGAGGAAAAACTACTGAAATGGTTGAAGTAATATAGTGAAAAAGGAATTCTTACTGGTAACCTTTCAACTGAAATAGCATTTTGTATACAAAATTATAGTTCATTGTCATCTTTGTCATCCAGCTTCCTTTAACTTTTTAGCTTGTTGTTTCATTCATGTTTTTATTTCCCTTTTAGACCATAGCAGGTCTTTTGTATTTTTTTAAAAATACATAGTTTATTTAGAAAGTGAATGAGAGAGAGAGAGAAAATTCACCTCCCCAAGGTAGGGGAGGGGGACAAAGCTAAAAAAAACAAACAAACATGGCAGCCATAGTACATGGCCACACCAGAATTTAGTAACGTAATGGCAGGTCTTTTGTATTTTTGTGTTAATTTATCTTCATGGATATTTTAGGAAGAAGTTGAGAGAGGCTGCAACTTGGCTGCCAGCCACAGGCCATTTGGGAAGTTTGCAGAATAAACCTCAAGGTGTTGGTGACATTTAAGATGGATTCTGAGAGAATCTATTAGGGGTCCTTTTCTGTGCTCACCAAAGCCTACTATATTGCTGCAATATTACCTTGTCATACAATACAAAAAGAAAAAACCCAAGGTAATGCCCACATCTTGTTCTGCTCCTCTCATCTAATGCATGCCCTTAGGTGGGAAGGACCATGTGGGATGCGGAGCTGACCTCAGCTCACTCATGGTGTAGAAAACATGAGAAAACAGGGAAAGGGCATTTCCGAGGTGCTGGGGATGGTTGTTTCAGCAAATACTCAGAGAAGTCTTTTTAGCTCTATGAGAGTTGCCAGGTCTGTTCAAAAAGCCCCACCCTTTCCATTCCAACCGCTTTCTCTGTCTCCAGTATCTCCATCTACCACCTTGCCTGCATAGGCTTTGACTGTTGTCAAGTTTTTCACTTCTATGAGAAACTCTATTCAGGCACTTGGATACTTGATCTTACCATTTCTTAACTTGTCCAAATCTGCAGATTCTAGAAATTTCTCTTCAAACTGATGCAGAAACAGTGAAAGAATTCATATTAGGCTACTGCATAGCACTCTAGCCTTTAAAACTTGAATGGCCCCTGTGTGGCACATCATATGGAAAAAGAAGAATGTGTGAGTTTGGCCAGGTTCACAGAGGAGTCTGGTCATGGCCATTTGGAATTTGAGAGTAGATCCATCAGGAAAAGGCCCGGGTCACAGTACATTGCTGCTCATTCTTGCAAAATCGCTTCACCTGCACCCTGACCCCACTGATGTCCTTGGTTAGGTCATGATTTGGGAGGGGGATACCACTAGAGGAAAGGGACCATGATACTCTTCTAGTTATGGAATGTTAGTATCTCAGGAAAGCCTTTGGCTCCAAATGAGATCAGACCACAACCTTGGGTGTTCCCACCATGGTATATAGGCCAATGACCCCTTTATATTCTGTCACCAAGGGCTTCTGCTGCAATTTCCCTCATTCCTTTCCATGTTATTCTGTAAAAGGAGTTCTTCATCATAAAATTTTGGAGAATTGTGGGTTTCTAACTTGCTTGGTGGAACAGAGTTTGTTGTTGACTTCCATGATCCCAGAGACTTAGGCTACATAGGTGGTGAAGTGTGTGTTCCAGCAATCCATAAAATGTCCAGTTTATGACACACATAAGGCATGTTGGGTGATCATTGCAGGAGGGTGGCCAGGGTGGGCTGGGCTTGGCACTTGTAATGATCCCTGTGAGGCTGATGGACTAGATTGCAGTCATCAGCCTTTGGGCACTGACCCCTGAGGACATAGGACCCCTGAGCAACGGTCTCAGGCACTTGCCCCCATTCCCCTCCAGTCAAGCTGTGATGAAGATAAGGAAGCCTGGGGTGCTCTAAGCCCCGCCTCTACCTCACCTCCTGTGCTGAACTCCTCCCCACAGGCTCTGAATTTATCCCGTAACTGCAAAGCTGAAGTCTGGACAACTGTCAACACAGATTATTCATTTCTCGAAAGACAAAAACCTGGAATGGCTCTTTTTGGATCTGTTGTGTGCTTATTTCTTCATCAAGTTGAGAAAGGATCAGACTAAATTCTCATGGCTTCATGAAGCAATGGAGGAAATACAATCCCAAGGCAAAGGTCCCACGTTGTTATGAGGTCCAAGGGACCAAAGAGAAATTCCCTTCACAGGACACCCTCTCACCCCAAAATTTTCCTTCTCTACTGCCACCTGGGAGGGCAAGATCTCCTGTGTTCATGACTTCACAGAAAAACCCTCAGACAGCTACTGTCTCTGGTCTAGATTGGGAAGTGCTTCTCTAGTGCCACCTCTAGGAGGCAGCACTCAACAGCGTCACAAGAAGTCCCCCTGCTTTTCCAGTTCAAACATTGGGACAATGGCCTTGCAACACTGGGAAATGCCTGGGTGCTCTCCTAGATGATCTTGTCCTTCACTTTAATCATCTATTTACTGGTCTGCAACCTCAGAGAGATGTAGACAGCCCGAAGGTAGGGATTGTGTCTTGTTAACTGTCTACTTCAGGGACCTAGCACAGAACCTGAAACCTATTAGGTGCTCAAAAAATATAATCATTGAAGGAATGTTCTCAGTCTTTCACAGGCATTTGGTCACTATTGTCCACTCCCTTCTACCTCTGAACTGTGGTTTTAAGTTTAATTGCATTCATTTTCTATTATTATACATTTTGATCTTTTTATTGTGGAAATTTGTAACATGTAGAAAACTAAACAGAAAAGTATAATCTTCTCTTTGTACCTCTCACCTAGCTTCAACAATTGCCAATTGAAGCCATTGTTGTCTCACCCTGTGCCCACCTACTCCCCCCATCTGGTCATAATTTCAACAAAATCCCAGTCATCATATATTTCATCCTTAAATTCTTCAACGTGCCCCTAAAACATAAAAACTATTTTATAAAATAACCACAATACATGATCATATCTAAAACAGCAACGATAATTCTATAATGTCATCAAATATTCAATGTTCATGTTTTTATTGTTGGACAAACACCAAAAATTATTTTTATAGCTTGTTTAAACACAAATTCACTTAAGCTGCACACATTATGATTAATTTGTTTATAAAACTTTTCTCATCAAAGTTTTATTCCCTTTGATGAGAAGAAAACTTAACGATGAATTAGGTCAAATATCTTCATCTCTTTTTAATAACTGGCAATATTTATTTAAGGCACAACTCTCAACAAGTCATTCAATAAAAACATCTCATAGACTCAGAACCTACCTCCACTCCAGCTGCAGCCAAAAGCCACCAGGTAGACTCCATTCTGCCTCGTCCATTGTAGTAGTGAAGTATGGGCTTCCCTGCCATGATAGCAGTATCCTGGTGTCTCTAAGTAAGAATGAATTAATGAATGGATGGCTTGATGAATGCATGAGTGAATAAATGAAACCACAGAACCAAAAGTGTACCTAAGATGTATGGGTGAACACCATCGACACTGAAGATGTATCTGGCTTCTTCATGACAAGGCTGCAGGATTTCCTGGAATGTTTTCTGGCCAAAATTGTTACCAAGTAGTGGCCACATTCAGATTGCGCCACACCAGTCTCAAGTAAAATGTGACTATTGGGTCACGTGACAATGGATAAAATGTGACTATTCTTGGCAGGATAATATGATGAGAGTATGTGGTCAAAATGCATGTATGAGAGTTAATGGGAAGAGGAAGAATTTGAGAACTAATATTTATTGAAAACCCCCTTAATAATCTTTCTTGAATGTTAGTCCCTTTCAATCGTTCTTTGCATAAGTATTTATCTCATCAAGCTTGCTTCATGACAATTAAGAGTATAGCAAACTTAGATAATAAAATTGTGATAATTGATCAGCCAATCCTGATTATCAAACTCAATTTTCTGCACTTTAGATAGAATCAATAAAGAAGTGGGCCTGTCCCACAGAATGTGTAAAGAAGAGAAAATTGGAAATGGCAGAATATCCAGGCAAATGTTTTAACAGGACAAAGGGCAAGGATGAATACATACTGGTTGAATTGGGAAGAGGAAAATCCATAAGAAGGGCATTATTGTTCTTCATTTTGTTCAAGGCTTGGATCCAGGTCATTTTGCTTTATCAAACTAAAAGTTCAACAGGCTTAGATTCACTTCCAACACCCAGAATGTTCCTAGCAAAAATTCTTCCTACATTTTGAAGCATCCTGACCTTAAAGAAACATCGAAACGCCAATGGCAACAGCACTAGGCAATAAATCACAAAGCATCTCTTACAAAGAAAGTGCTCGTGTAAGTGAATCGGCCATCAAGTGGTCAATTAGAACTGTGTTTGGCTGGCATTGGTGGCTCTTTTCTCAGCAGGAGATGGAGATTTGACAAGCAGCTGGAGACATGGACCTCTCCAGATGCATGTCCTGTTCACTGGTTATTTGGGAATCCCAAGTCTGGGATCCTGACAAATTCAAATTCACAACAATTGTGTGTTGACTACTTTCATGGATAAATCAACTTGAGCATTAACTACATTTCCTCCGACACTGGTCATATGCTCAGATTTTTTAAAATGCTACCATCTATTTTTTTGCTTCATATGATTAATTTTTCTCATATCATTAAATTACCATGCCCAAATTTTCTAAATACTTCATTTTTCATTTCTGTAATACCTGGAGAAATTGCTAGAAACAAAATGGAATCCTAGTGTTAATAACAGTCTGACAAATAGACCTGGGAATGACCAGAAAGAGCGGCTTCTCACACTTTTGTGTCTGATAACAACTACACAATAAACGTGATCTTTCTCAAAGACTATTGCAACAATAAACAAAAGATACTTCTGTGAGGACATCTGGCCAGAAACTTCCAGTGCAACCTTCACTGTTACCGATGTTTGTAGCCGGGGGTAATTCTTTCCAAACCATTTGAACTTCTCCTCATTTTTTCCTCTAAAAATCATTGTTTCCTTGACCTCTCTAAATACACAAGAGTTTACTACAACATGCTTGTTTGCATTACACCATTTATTTTTATTTTTTCCTTTAAAGAGCCACCTGCGCTTACTATTTAACTTCACAGTTGATACACTCTTGAACTGTCACCCAAGCACATTGTAAGTATAAAACAGACTTTTTCTTGTGCTGAGGACACCTTTTAATTATTTTTCTAGTGACCTGGATGGGAGGGTATGAGGCAATGTGGAAGATGCCTAAGAGCAGTACTTACCTTGTTGAAGGCTGCCATCTTCCTGGCTCCTCAACTCAGTTTCAGGTCCTGATGTGTTTATAATGTGTCTGTTCATTCCAGTAGTTCCCTCCCACCGAAGGGGCAAAGTCACATGTCACATAAGGTAAAGACCCTCCCACAAGTTTTAGTGCCACTGGGTTCCCAACTAGATTTGAAGAAAAGTGCCAAGTCATCCTCTTATCACAAGATAACTGGTTAATATGTTCCTTTTCAAGGTTGACAATAAAAGTTGAGACAAAAATATCTAGTTCCTGGGCCAAAGCCTCCTTCTTGTTGCATTCTAGTTCGCATTGTCTGGCACAAAATCTGAGCATACTAGGAATTCTATAAATAAGACAGTTTTTAAATTCAAATGGAAGAATTCTAGCAAATATAATAGTGAGAGAATAATATAATAAACTCCAGAGTACTCCTCACTCTCCTTCAACAATTGCCAAGAGTCCTTTTTCATCTAAACCACACAGTGATTTAAGATATGTTAGCCCCCCAAAACAGGTCCATGTCTAAAACCGTGGATCCTGTGAATAAGACCTTATTTGGGAAAAGGCTCTTTGCAGGTATAATTACATTAAGAAAGTCTAGGTGAGATCTTCCTGAAATATCCAGATAGACTCTCAATCCAAGGACAAATATCCCCACAACAGAGAGAAGACACAGACACACAGAGGGTAAGGTACTAGAAGACAGAGGCTGATATCCAAGTGATGTGACCACAGTTCATGCAAGTCATGAAATGCCAAGAGCCACCAAGGGCCAGAAGAGTCAGGAAAGGATTCTCCCCTAGAATTTGGACAGAGGAGTGGCCCTTCCAGCACCTACTTCAGACTCCTGATTCTCAACAGTGAGGTGGTGTCAAGTCCCCTGGTTTGTAGTCATCTGTGACAGGAGACACAGGAAACAATACACACCCCATCTCCTCCCCTCACTATCATGGGATGATGTGAAGCAAATACCAGACAGCGTATCACTGGTGTCAGCAAATATTAATACAGATAAGTGTTAGAAAGTAAGGACTTCTTTTCTAAACATAAGCACCCTATTCTATCACACTAAAAATTTGTAATACCTTAACTTCATCAAATATTCAGTATTCTAATTCATTGAAGTGTCCCATAAATGTTTCTTTATGGTTGGTTAATTTTCATCAGCCTCCATGCAAGGCCCATCCATCGTCTTTGAGATATGAAGAAATTTGTTCTGTAGAAATGGATGTATGGATACAGAGACAGGCACAGTGTGTGGGGACTGTAAGTTCTCAAAGCTCGGTCACATCCCTCAGTCCCCGAGCTGCGCCTGGAACTGTGCAGATGCCATCGTCCCTTGGTGACGAAGCCCTGGGGTCCCAGTAGGCCTGGTCCCACAACACAAGCTTACAGGGCACTGGATCAGACACAGTGGCCCTCAGGTATATTAGAGGCTCACAGGGGCTCTGTGGAGGTCACAAAGGAGAGGTCAATGGTCCAGAGAAGTATCAAGGTGGGTGTTCAGGATGGCCAAGTGGGAGGAGCTGGTCAGGCAGGGCTGGCAAATGTGCCCAGGTGGGAAGGCAAGAGGTCCACCATGCTTGGAGGTTGACCAGACTGGAAGTCAAGGAGTGAGCAGGGGGTGAGGATGCATTCTGCATGCCATGGGGGAAGAATTTACAGACAGGCAGGGATACTCAGATTTTCCCTTTAGAAGAACTGTTCTGGCTCTAAGTGCAGAAAAGCCTAGGGCCAAGTGGGGAGGCAGCCAGGAGCCCTGAGTGCCTGTTGCTCCCTCACACCCTTCAAATGTGGGAGCTCACTCTGGAGGAGAACTCAATATGCCAAAGCCCAGGTATTCTGGGAGAAAAAACATTACAAGCTCCATATACAGTTGGGAATCGCTCCTCATCTGCACACTCTTGAGTGGTGACAGGCTAGGGAAAGCATGATTTTACTTGTAGTTATTTCTATGAAATTCCCCTGGATAATCTGTGTCTTGGGAGCCCAGGCCTGAGCATCAGAAGAGAACTAAGAGTGAGGCTCACGCCAGGGTCCCACAGAGCAAGGCAGAGCAGACAGAGGATGTGCCTGTCATGGGCTTTGAGGGGACAGCAGGGCCACTGCAGGGGCCCAGCCCCACAAGAGTCGTGGGCTTTCCTGAAGGAGAGACGGATAGGCGAAAGATGAAAACATTATACTCGGACACCTGCTTCTTGAACAGATGACGTTTAATGTTAGCTAAGGGAAAGCTTTTATACCATTAGTAAAGGGGCAAGACAAAGAAAATTCCTTCACGTACATATCCTCTAAAAGTTACCATCTAGTGGTCTTAGCAACAAACAAATCAAGATCCCTATAAACATTCAGACAACAAGTCTTATTCATAAAACCAAAAATGATACTTTTAGTCCAAAGTCCCGAATTACAGTCCTTGAAATGTCTCAAGAAAGTTTCTAAGTGCACACTTCTTCATGTGTCAGGAGTTTTCCCATCTGGGGCTTCTATGACCTTCAGGGCCTTGTAATCACCTCCCTTGTCCAGATGTCTTTGTTACTTTTCTTTTATCCTGCAGTGCTTGTTTCTAAAGAGAACTCAAAAGAAGCTTTTAGTAATGTTTCCCAGGCCCCCAAGGTTGCTTTCTGTCTTTAGCTAATCTATCATAAAAGTGTCTGATTAGTATATTATGAGTTCAGTGGAAACCCACTTTATAAATGTTAACTTAGAGTTTTAACTATTGAATTAAGTAAAAACCTTAATGATAATCTTTATCCTAAGTCAGTGAAAACAGTGTTATAAATCACCTACATAACTCCTAGATAAGTGTTAGAACTTATAATGAATACATAATGGACTTACTATAAACTTGTGCTTCTAAAAAACCTTATGTCTAAACACTAAACTGCATAATTCTAAATCAAATAAGGAGTGAATATACTTATATCATATATTACTCAAGCAATATCTAATAACTTATAACCAAGTGAAAGAAAGCATTCTTGATGTGCTTCAGAGTTTAACCCTTGCATATGTTAGAAAAGGCCAAGCGGCATAGTGGGAAAATGGAAAAATAAACCATGACATTCTCAGGTTAGCTGTGAGTACTTCGCATAAACATGCCATTTTCTTCTTCCACGACTGCACAGAATTCCTTCAGCCG